AACCCCCCACCACACACACACCCTTCTCTCTACTCAACCCACTGACCACTTATCCTGCTCTTCTTCTAGTCCTGATGCTCCTCTTGAGCTGAACCCTGTCTGTCGTAACCGCAGCTAGGCCAGCACCCAACAGAGGAGCTCACACGCTGGGGGAAGCATCATTTAGGCTGGCCCTGGAGGACCTGTATGGTTCATCTGGTGGGGAAATGGAGCCTGGCGCTCTAAGCATCTATACTGGTTAGGGTCCAATCCAGGGCCAGAAACCACCCAGTCATTTAAAAAGAGAGAGTTTCATAAAGAATGATTAACCGGGCATTGGAGGGGAAATAGCTAAGAGGGGTGGGGGGATAGGGGGGTGTGACAGAACTCTAAGGGACATTAGTGCTGAGTGAGGTACTCAAGGCAAGAACGGAGGGGTCCCCTCCGCAAGGCTGGGGACCCAACACGTGTGGGGTGGGGGTGAGGGGTGGGGAGAAGTTTTCTGGGTTGAACCAGGCCAAATTCAGTACGAACTCTTATTTTGGACACTTATGATAAATAAGAAGTCAAGTTCTGTGTGTGTTTTAAAGTAAAACAATAAAAATAAAGGGCGATTTTCCGAATGTCAAGTCTACCACCATGTTCTGAAAGGAAGGGTGCACCTGCCTCGGGTACCCAACCGTGTCCTTCGGTCACTCGAAGCCCTCAGCATAGTTTAAAGTGTCAAGGCAACACCCCTGATACACGACACCAGCTACTACTCTTCCCTGGACCCGACCGCTTAATGACACGAGCGGTCAGGTACTTTTTTGACATAAGGGTGCCATGAACAAAATACCGAGACCCTAGGCGCTAAGACTGAGAAGAGTTAGTGACTTTTTTATCTTAGGCATTTCTTTTAAAGTTTTTTTGGGGTTTTTTTTGGCTTTGATTTGGTTGGGAAACTAGAGGAAAGAGTAACCCACAGCATGATCTCCAATATCTAATTAAATTACTCTTTATCTAGTCTTCCTGAGTAGTATTTAGGAAAGTATATGTCTGGTCAATAATGTGTATTGTTTTATAGGAAAAAAAAGGGGGGGGCACACTTATCGTCTACCAACCAGAGCCCTGGGATCTCCCCACAGAGGTCACCCTGAGACTGTTGAATCTGGGAGAAAAGCCATCTGGCCTATCTGACAGGAAGTGAAAGACACAACATGTTACTGTGTCTGTGTAGATTCCCAAAAAAGACCCGGACAAAAGATAAGCGTACATTACACACTACGAGGATCTTAATATAGCTATGGAGACAGGGAAAATGACAGGACTCCATCATTCCAACCCCCTTAGATCTCAGAGTGAGGCCCCGGTATGTTTATATTAACGCCTCCATTTAGTTCTAGTTAAATCAGTCTTTAAACACGAAGAGCCCTGCTTCAAAAAAAGAAATCTGTCCTCCCACCCTGCAACCCCAGACAGTGGTCTCCACCAAAAGGAAGCTGCGCTCCTTGGAGAAATGGCTGATTCCGTGTCTGGGCAGGCAACGCGCAAGACGAGTGTAGAACACCTTGTCTTACCAGACAGCAAGGCGCTACCGAAGACTGTGTCCAAAGTTCCAGGCTCCAACCCGAAGAGGCTCCAAATGGCTAATCGTGGTACAATTTGAGCAACTATAATGTACCAAGTTCTAAGAGAAAGCTTTCATTTTCCCCCTTTGAAAGTATCAATAATAATTATTTAGGCTTACTGATAAAGTTTATCAAAACAGTTGTACTTCTGCAGCTGGCTCCTGTAATAATAGGCCTCTTTTTATGAGTTTATTTATTACTTAAAAACACACCTCATGCCCGGCCCTGTGTCCACCTATGAATCAGGAGATCATGGTTCAATTCCTGGTCAAGGCACATGCCTGGGTTGCAGGCCCATCCCCAGTAGGGGGCGTGCAGGAGGCAGCCAATGAATGCGTCTCTCATCATTAATGTTTCTCTCCCTCTCCCTTCCTCTCTGAAATCAA